CGTAGAGAAAAGGCTACTCCCGCTTCAGGTCGAGGCGGAGGGGGGGGACAGAAATAAAGAGCGGAGCCGTGGGCTGAACGAGATGTCTGGTCTCTAAAGCGACGGCGTTACAACGTGCAGCAGCTGCTGCTCTCACTGGAGACTACTGGACATCGCTGGGTCACCATCATCACCTCTGAGTTACAGCATTATATTGATGAACAGTAGAGCTGCATTCACATGCTCTGACTATCATGAAGACACAAGACACACATTTAGATGAAACGTACTGAAACATGTTATTCCTGTTGCACAGCAGTGGAACGTTTCACACACGATCACACACTGTGCACAGATAGTGAAGAGATAGAACTGCTGCTGTGTGAAGAGAATACTGCTGTTAAAAAGAACCTGATGTGTTTAAAGTGTTTGCAAACCAAATGTTGTTGCACTTTTGTTCATATAGCAGTACTTTCAAAATAAAAGTGCACAATACACTAATTTTGAATTCATTATTGAACTTTGCCATAACAATGAGATTAATCACGATTAATCGCAAACAAATCATGTGATTACCTGCGATTAAGAGTTGTAATCATTGCCAAGCACTAGTGAATACATTTACCATGACGCCGGTTCATTGAAGCGAACCGATCCCACGCTTTGACACTCGGCTCACCTGCACCTGTTGAGATATAACAGCATGTTTACCCTGGTGGGAGAAGCCTTTGCACCCTGGAGGTGAATGTGAGTTTAAAGATAATGGCAGCTGTACACAGACACACCACACCTCAGCCCACAGCTGCACTCTGAGGTTAAGATTAACACTGAGGTTAAGATGTTATATTTAGAAGAGGAACAAAGTGTCCCTTTGTCGTGACGTCTGTGTGAGTGGATCTTTGTGGAGCGTCGCCCGGAGGCTTCGTCATTATTGTGGAATACGATGTGCCGGAGCAAGTGGACGGAACTGTCCCTTCTGTTTTCTGCTTCACTGTTCCAATAGCAAAAGTTATTTACTTAAGAGGCCATTTGCAACACTGGTCCTGTGTGCCAGAGCACTCAGTACAAAAACCCTCTGGATCTTCAGTTGGCTCTCGCTCCTTCCTGAGACACCCACTTTGGCTTTGGTTTGTTTTTACACTATACAACACTGCATATACACTTTACACGCACCCACTCACTTACACTGCTGAAATGACTGACTTCACATGTCACTGTTAGTTTATGTTTGTCTTTTATATTACTTTAAACTTAATAAATAATTAATGAACTGTTCATTGAATGCGTTCCCCTTTTTGGTCATGGCCGTTCGGCCCGGTTTGTGACAGCACATCGAATTTTAAATTTGGGTTTTTTTTTTAAATATCTTTTTTTTTTTATTGCCACAAAGGAAACCGAAGCATCGCGTTGGAGGAGCGGCGTCTAAACCAGATCCACACATCCAACCACTGACCAAAACAAATGCTGTGGCAACAAGGAATCATCTCAACATGTGGGCGGGGATCAAACCGCCGAACTTCTGCCTCTGAACCACAGCCGCCCCTTGTATAATTGGATCAAGGAGATTTCTTCATACCAGCATAAAGTAACTTTTCCTTTACACCAAGTAACTCTGTAAGCACCTCGGGGCCTCTGATTTACAAGACATTCTTGTCATTCAACAGACACAAGCCACTCTTGTTCTTTAGCCCCAAAGTGGGAATTTCTGCAGTCAAACTGTCCTGAAATAGAGCGGAACAATTGGGAATACAAGTCAATGCAGCAGAAATAAACCTGCTTTGATACGAATGGTGTTCCATAAAAGTCTGAATGATTTACTGCGATACAATAGTTCATGTTCACATTTCCTCTTTCTTATGAAGCCAGAAATGAAATGCATCCACAGAAGGAGATTATTGGGGTGAAGCTCCAGTGTTGACACAACACAGTTTTACCAGTAGAGACCATTAAACTGGCCCAGTTATGCTCCTTTAATAAGTTTGATTCCCCACATGAGTTGTTTCTGTGGGAAAGTCCCAGATGACATGATCACTGATTAAGTGGGGAAAATCCCTTTAGGAGCTCATTCGAGAGTTAAAGTGCTGTTTGAGGATGCAGGTGAACCAGCGGGGCCTCCAGCAGAGACCGGTCCACCGTGGACAGACCCAGATCCTCCAGCAGAGGCCGGTCCACCGTGGACAGACCCAGATCCTCCAGCAGAGACCGGTCCACCGTGGACAGACCCAGATCCAGAGCTCCGGAGGGAAGAGGAGAGCTCAGCTCCCGGCAGCAGCAGCGTCTCCTCCTCCTCCTCCTCCTCCAGGAGCAGAGCTTCTCCTCTCTGCTGGAGACTGAGGACGTATTGCTGGACCCGCTGGAGGGAAGGGAGGCACGGGAGAACCAGGACTGAGAGGAGCAGACTGTCAGACCTGCTGCAGTAACATGAGAGGTTTTCTAAAGGGTCTGGTGCTCAGAGACACTACCACTTTAGTCCACAGGGGGCGACAGAATCAACACAACATGAAAGATCCTCACAGCAACTTTAAGTAACGCTTAACTATTGAATGATGAGATAATGCATGAATTAATGCATGTATCATGAATTTAGCAGTAAAATTAGAGATTTTCTAAAGGGACTCTAGTGCTAATGTTACATTTCATTAAAGTATATTTTACAGTAATCGGTTTTGGAAGTATCAGCAGCACAATGAAATGAGACTAAACAATAATCACGGACAAGATGTGAGATCTTTGCTGAGATATCTTCTGCATTACTTCCCTCTTTGTTCAACACAACAGACTGATTCTACTGATTCTACTGATTCTACTGATTCCACTGATTCTACTGATGATCACAGAGCGTCTCTCCTCCTGCCCTGTGGAGGACTCACTGCCCCGTGTCTCACCCGGTGGTCCAGATAACACACAGAGAGTGCTGATGAAGCTCTTTCAGCTTTTAGACAATGTGTACTTTTATTTTATATAATTATTATTCTCATTCCCAAAAGGGGGGTCCAGGCCAAGATGGCAGCGTAAAAGTTTAACGACATAAAAGCACAAATAATTATTACGTTATAAAAGAAAACAACAACAAAAAAGTCAAAGAGACATAAAACAAACAGTAAATTGCATCAAAGAATTGTCATTCAGTGATCAAATAGTATTTAATCCCGTAGCAGTAAAGATGAGATAAAAAGAACACGTTAACTAAATAATCTATATGAGCAATTTAGATTCCGCCGTCAACCTGACCTATGTGTCTGGGACCTTTGAGACCTTGTCAGTGATGCTTAGCTCATCGTATAATGCATGAATTAATGCAGCATCAACATCAACAAAACACCACGTTAATATTATCTATACCCTTATTATCAAGTGTGACTGAATCATCTGTAGAAGTACACAACTTGTTTTTATCTTTGCTTTTGCAAACATTTATTTCTGGAACAACTAAAGCCTTTCATGTCCCTTATCTGGGCTTAGCCTTCAGGGGACTAGAGCTCTGGCTGAATGAATAGTTGTGTTTGTCCCACTGTACAGCGTGTCAGCCTGTATCACTCATAAAGGGGTGTGGGAACACTCTATGGTTCCTGTCGGGCACTGAAAGGTGGATCAGTTAACTGAATCTAAATCTGAACGTGTTCTCTTCATCTCATCTTTACTGCAACAGGATTCAGGACTACACTGAGACTGGTTCATGTAGAGGATCAGGACTACACT